GCAGTGGTGGAGTCCCCATCCCTGGAGGGGTCCAAAAACCGCATGGATGTGGCACTTGGGGACGTGGTTTGGTGGCCACAGTGGGGTTGCACTGATGATCTTAGAGGGCTTAACCTGAACGATTCTGTGATGAAAACCAGCCTGAAAAGCAGGCACAGGGGAAGGGTTTCCCCATCCCTCACCCCACTTCCCATAGCAAACCCTCACTGGGGTCAGGACCCCCGAGCAGATCCGGGTGCTGGCCCCGAGGCATCGTCCCCACCACACTCCCACTTCTCCAGGTTGATTTATTGGCTGTCCTACGCCATCGGCCGCTCCTTCCGCGCCTTCGGCCCTTCCTGCCGCTGCTGGCCATGCTGCTCTGGAACCTCTACAGCATGTTCGTGCTGGAGCCCGAAAACCTCCTCGCCCTGGCAGCAATGAAGCCCGACAACCACCCCAAGGACAGCGGGGCCAAGCTGCGCTACTGGGGGTGAAGGTCCCGGGGAAATGGGTCCTGGGGCTGAGCCCTCCTCACTCCCTGCATTGGGAGCCCCAAGGAGGCTCCAGCCCCAGCAGGCGCCCATGGGTGGTAAAGGGAAGCTGTAAAACCCCCAGCACTGGGTTTTTCGCCCAGAGGGACCCAGTGAGCCCCGTGCCAGGAGGGTTTGGGGTGGGAGGTGCCTCCCTTCCTTCTGGAGCCCCCTTGGCCCAATGGTGCTGGAGCTGCTTTGGGGAGGGTGAGGGAAATTCCCCTGCAAATGATGCTGTCACTGCAGAGCTTTGCCCAGGGGATGCCACCGTCCCACCCCAAAACCATCTCTGGAGAGGGGAAACCGTTGTGTGTGGTCCCAAACTGCCCATGTCCCTGGCTCCCTGCGCAGTGGCGTGGCCAGTCCTGCCCAGCACATCCCTCCTCTTCCTGCTGGTGGAGCTTCCCAAACCAGTTGGACCAGCAGGAGGGACCTGTGCATAGCCCAGAGGTCTGAAATCCACCAATAAAGGCCAAGCCCTTGCAGCTCCACATCTGCCAAGTGTTCAGCTTGTCCATCCCATCCCATCCC